TTCCACATATGAGTGAAATCATATGGTACTTGTCTTTCTCTGGCTGGCTTATTTCACTTTGCGTAATGTTTGTTCTCCAAGTCCCATTCATGCTGTCGCAAAGGGTAAAATGTTCTTCCTTTGACGGCAGAGTAGGATTCCATTGTGTACTAGGTGTACCAGTTAATAATGCGCATTTTTCCCAATAGATGGAGTTACACATATGTTGATATATATGTGATTTGATATGTATGCTATTTTGTTATATTGACAGCAAGCTTCAAAACTTCATATGTCAAATTTGCTAAAAGTGTTAACATCATAGATATTTTTACACTTAAAGATGTCGAATTTCGTGCCAAAAAAAAGCATTAGATCATTTGCGGGAAGTTTTAATTCATTACGTTATTTTAAAGAAAAGTGCTGCTGAAAGTTATCGTATACTTTGGGAGCTTATGGTGAACGTGCTCCATCTCAGGATACTTGTGAACGCTGGTTTAAACGTTTAAAAGTGATTTTGATTTGAAAGACGAAGAACGTCCAGGTCAACCAAAAAAGTTTGAAGACCAACAGTTACAAGCATTATTGAATAAAGATGCATGTCAAACTCAAAAACAACTTGCAGGAAGATTAAACGTTGCTCAGCAATTTACAATTGTTTACAAGCAATGGGAAAGGTTTTAAAGGAGGAAAATGGGGGCCACATCAACTGAATGAAAGACAAATGGAAAACCGAAAAGTCATCAGTAAAATGTTTCTGCAACGGCAGGAAAGAACTTTTTGCATTGAATTGTGACTGGCGATGAAAAATGGATTTATTTTGAGAATCCGAATAAAACCACCAGAATGGGCCAGAAGACATGGCAAAGTAATTTTGCTTCATGATGACGCACCATCACACACTTCAAAACCAGTTAAAGACATGTTAAAAGATCTTGCCTGGGAAGTATGAACCCACCGCCGTATTCACCAGACCTTGCTCCTTCAGATTACCACTTATTCCGATCGATGGCACACGCACTTTCTGAGCAGCACTTCAAAACTTACGAAGTAGTGGAAAATTGGGTCTCTGAATGGTTTGCCTCAAAACAAGAAAAGTAGCTAGTGATGGACATTACTTTGAATAAAGCACTTTTGATGTTTCTCTTGAAGTTACTGTGTTTTCTTTGATTACAAAATCCGTCATTATTAACCGGTACACCTATTAAATATACCACAGCTTTTTTATCTACCCATCTAATAATGAATACTTGGGCTGCTTCCAAATCTTGGCTATTGTAAATAACATTGCAGTGAACATAATGTGCATATATTCTTTCAAATTAGTGTTTTGGGTTTCCTTGGATAAATTCCCGAAGTGGAATCGTTGGATCATAAGGAAGTTCCATTTTTAATTTCTTGAGGTAACTTCACACTGCTTTCCACAGTGGCTGCACCAGTCTGCATTCCCACCAACAGTGCCCTAGGGTTCCCTTTTCTCCACATCCTCGCCAACACGTCCTGTTCGTAGACTTATTGATGATAGCCATTCTGACCTGTGTGAGGTAATATGTCATTGTGGTTTTAATTTGCATTTCTCTAACGATTAGTGATGTTGAGCATCTTTTCAAATGTCTGTTGGCCATTTTTATGTCCTCTTTGGAGAAGTATCTATTCAGCTCCTTTGCCCCTTTTTAATTGGACTCTCTTTTTCTGGTGTTGAATTTTATAAGTTCTTTACAAATTCAGTTGAATTCTGACACTACCTGGAGTTAGCATCAGCCCCTACAGGTTAGGGGCTCAGTCCCACAAGGCCCCGCCCCTTGCATACACACACCTTCAGAAACCTTCACAAGCCCTAGATTGTCACCTATACTTCTGACCAACTGGCTATAAATCGAGGTTTCCACAACCCCTTTCTAGGGGAAATACATGCACTGGTTTATTATAAAGGATATAATAAGGCAGGGGTGGGGAACGTGTGGCCCCTGGGCCGTGTAAGGCCCTCCTTGGGCCTGGCCATGCCAAGGCGTTGGGGTGAGTTAATTAACGACCAAATACCGCAGGCTAATTTTTAAGTTGACAATTTTGTATGGCCTGCGAATGATGTTATAAATATCCAAATGGCCCTTGGCAGGAAAAAAGGTTCCCCACCCCTGTAAGGGATACAGATAAATAACCAGATGAACACTTACAGAAGACAAGGTATAGGGAAAGCGCTCTGACACCCCACCTCCCAACACCTGCACGTGTTCACCAGCCCGAAGCTCTCCAACCCAAGGTTTGTGTGGGGTCTTGGTCACCTAGCCCTGATGGGTCATTCAGTCAGCCTCCGGGCCCTCTCCCCTCCCCCGAGGATGGGGGATGGGGTGGAAGTTCCAAGCTTCTCACCCCGGCTTGGTTTTACTGGTTTACTGACCAGTCCCCATCCTCGAGCTGTCCAGGAGCCATCAGGAGAGGACTCATTAGAACAAAAGGCTCTCCTATCACCCAGAAAATTCCGAAGGATTAAGTTCTGTGTCAGGAACCAATGTCAAAGGCCAAGACAAAGGAGGTTCCTAATGCTTGTCACTTAGGAAATTTCAAGGGTTTTAGGCGCCCTGTGCAGGAACCGGGGATAGAGATAAATATATGTATTTTTTATTTCACAGTAGGTAATTTTCCCCTCTCTCTGAAAGGTGAATGTTAAGGAGCCTTGCTTATAGTATGTGCTCAATAAACGTTGCTGAAGGGATGGCTGAAATAATTAAACACTTCTTCTCCCTCACAGCTTTCCAGCTGAAATGAGGTGGTGCTCACTTAGTGTCTCTGAGTGAATGAGATGACTGGATTGCTCCCCCTGCTGGCTACTGTGCAGCTTTCCCTGCTCCTCTTCCAGCGTGAGTCTCCACAAGGGAGCCTCAGAACTGATTTCTAAAACCCTGCTTGTACCTGGTGTGATTATAAAGCAATGAGACTGATTGTCGTGTGTCGTGTGTGGGATCCGTCTCAGTTACTTTATAGCCATACCTCGTATCTTACACCACAGACCATTGCCTGTTGAACGACATTTTAAAAGCACAAACCTAACGTTTCTAAATTGAAGTTTAAATGGTTTAGCATAATATTATGATTTGCTCTAACTTACTGATCAGAACTTTTATTTCAGAAAGATAATTAAGATGTTAACTTGGTTGCTTGCTTTAAATTTGCAGTTTTCATTTTGTTTTGGGGTTTTTAATCAGTATTCTGGTGAATTGCTGTTCTGATAAAGTGGACGGCACAATTTTGAATAAGATAATACAGAGGTATATATATGTTCCATTGGGTTAAATTTTTCATAAAACTACTTTTAATTAGCTACTTTGAGTTTATTTTCAGTTGCATGTGATCTTTGACTGCACATGATACAAGGATAGTCCTTGTAGTTAAATATCATAAATTAAATGTATAAAGTAAATATTCAGTAGTAGTATTCATTGAAGAAGCCTTTGAAAGGGTAAGTTATGGGGGGTATTTTGTCTTGGTGGTCTACATTTATATGTGCAGACCTTATTCAAATTTGTGTAAGTGGTTATAACTTTCTCTTCCCCAAAATAAAATGTTTATTCTTCCTCTACTGGCCAGAGCCTTTGGGCTCTTTGAGAAAAGCAAATTGTAAAAGCTGCATGTTGCCCAGACAGCTTCAGTTTATGACAGGACAATTAATCACAGCTAGATTGGTGGTAAAACAGCTTCCCTCTTTCCGGACTGTAATTTCTTGCTATGCATAGGAGAGTCACCTGCCTGTACTGAACTACAGTAAATTATGTAAGTGAAAGAACTAGGTGACTGGAAGTGCAACTTCAAAACATCTTTAGAATTAAACTAGAGGCCTGGTTCATGAATTCATGCACCAGAGGGGTCCCTCGGCCTGGCCTGTGGGATCAGGCCAAAACCGGCTCTCTGACATCCCCCGAGGTTCCCGGATTGTGAGAGGGCACAGACCAGGCCAAGGGACCCCACCAGGGCACAATCGGGGTGGGGGAGGGACCACAGGAGAGCCCCAGGGCGTGTCCGGCCCATCTCACTCAGTCCCAATCAGCCAGACCCCAGCAGCAAGCTAACCTACCGGTTGGAGTATCTGCCCCGTAATGGTCAGTGCACACCATACCGACTGGTCGACGGTTGCCTGTCTGCCCCCTGGTTGGTCAGTGCACGTCATAGTGAGCAGTTGAGCGGCCTTAGCATATCATTAGCATATCATGCTTTGATTGTTTGAATTGATGACTGGATAATTAGCATATTAGGCTTTTATTATGTGGGACTCGATAGTCTGTGACTGTGGCAGAACCTCCGACAGCTGTTAGGAGCCGGAAGCAGCTTGAGGCCCAACTCGCCTGGAGTGCTGGAGGTGGACTATCCCAGGAAGAGCTTGATTTCCAGCGGGCTCTGGGGTGAGCTGGAACGCCGCCTTCCTCCGGTTGGCCTAGGCTTAGGACCAAAGTTAGTCTCAGTGTTCTTTTTTTTAAAATATATTTTTATTGGTTTTAGAGAGGAAGGAAGAAGGAGAAAGATATAGAAACATCAATGATGAGAGAGAATCATCGATTGGCTGTCTCCTGCACACCCCCTACCGGGGACTGAGCCTGAAACCCAGGCATGTGCCTTGTTCATGTCTGTCTTTCTCAGCTAACTGTGAGGACTTCAGGGCTCAGACCAGACACTTATTACACAATTTCCTTCATTAACCATTCTTTTAGAACATCTCTGTTTTCACTGCCCTCATTTTCAATTGTCCCCCTGTTTTTTCTTTTGTAGTCACAGACACAGTTAAGTGCTACAAAACAAATTCCTGTTCTCGCGTGGAGCCAGCATACATATACCCAACTGTGACTTCATTTCATTTAAAAAGTTGAATCTGAAAACTCTTGCTTTTAGCAGAAATTGTAGTATAGTTTTTCGCGTGGAGCCAGCATACATATACCCAACTGTGACGTCATTTCATTTAAAAAGTTAAGCATTTTTATGTATTTGATGTTCCTGTGATTTTTAAATGTATATGTATTTATTTTACATTACAGGCACTGGCGATATTATTGCTGTCATGATTACAGAACTGCGGGGTAAGGATATTTTGAGTTACCTGGAGAAAAACATCTCTGTACAAATGACAATAGCTGTTGGAACGCGGATGCCGCCAAAGAACTTCAGCCGCGGCTCTCTGGTCTTCGTGTCAATATCCTTCATCGTGTTGATGATTATTTCTTCAGCATGGCTCATATTCTACTTCATCCAGAAGATCAGATACACAAATGCTCGCGACAGGAACCAGGTGAGCTGCCAGTACGCTCATGATTGATGCTTACCAGCCATGGAGTTCGTAGATATCTGTGGTGATCGTACATAATACAAATATATTTTCACATTTTTAAAAAGTTGTAACCTTCAGTCATTTTAATGTTGAAAACATCCACACGAGTACTTTAAGGGTATTTTAAGTGCCTGCCTGGGGAAATTACTAAATTATAGTGATCACTTGGAGTATTTTAGGTAGATGGTTAGCTTAATATCATAATGTGATCTAGCTAATTCTAGTAACATGAAGAAATACAGAAAGTTGCGTATTTAAACTGGTGGCACTGGTTGTCAGTGGGAGGGGAATGGAGAGTGGAGGAGGGAAACCTGTCACGGTACACATTTCTTTCCATGAGAATTTTGAACTGTGTATTATCTATTCAGAAAAAAATAAAACTATTAAAAGTCAGTTATCTATCCTGTCTAAGCGTAGCCGAGGGGTGCTGGTGACAGGGGAAGGACTGGTAGAAGAGCTGTATGACGATAGCCATCCTAGATAGCCCACTGACCAGCGCAGCCGGGGCACTTGGTGGACTTCAAACGGGTGAACAAAACACGGGAAAGACAGGTGCCGCTTGTAGTGGAGCCCCTACAAAGAGAAGTCAGTACGTTTGTTACCTGAGTGTCTGATGTGCTATAAGCAAAGTATCCCCCTGAGAGCTGAATTCATGGTATTAAGTCCCTGTCACAGTCTTAGGCTTTTTTCATAGGAAACTAGAAGTGAATTGCTTGGAGGGTGGTTTGAAGCCAATTTTTATATAATGCCATCCTCTCCTTAAACAGTCCATACACATCCTTGGGTGGGAAGGAGGGGTGACATTTTCATCCTTCCTCGTTCTCGTGAAAGGAGCACAGACTTCTGTCTGGAACAGATGTGAGGACCTGAGTTAGATCCTGACCTTACCACCAATTTGCCATAGTTCCTCCTGACAGTTTATTAGCTTCTCAACTTGTTTCTTCACCTGAAAATCAGTATAAAACATCTGAAAACTACTTTATTGAATGTTTGTCTACCAGGCTCTGTGTAGGATCTTGTACCCCTTTAAAAATTTTTTATTATAATTTTTCTTTATAATTTCAGACTTACAGAAAAATTGCAAGAATAGTCTAAAGTATTCCCTTGCCCAGATTCTACAGCTGTTAACATTTTACCATATTTCCTTTTCTATGTGTATATTCATTTTTTAACCATTTGAGAGTAAGTTTGGGATATGGTGCCCCAAACTTAAATATTTCATTATGTATTTTCTAATACAGTACTGTTAATCTGATCTATAGATTTTTTCTGGGTTTTGTAAAATTGTCTTAATGATGTCTTTTATAGCAAAGAAAACCCTGGATTATTCTATCAGATTTTATGTTGCATGTACTAGTCATGTCTCTTTTTCTGTATCATGACATTGACACTTACGAAGAGTTACTAGAGGCCCGGTGCACAAATTCATGCACAGGTAGGGTTCCTCAGCCTGGCCGGCGATCAGGGCCAATTGGGGCCATCTCACCCATTTCCGATTGGGGCCAATGGGGGCCGGCTGTCTGGGGAGGGACCATGGGAGGTTGGCCAGCAGGCCCCGACTGGGGCGTGTCCAGCCCTCTCACTCAGTCCTGATTGGATGGACCCCAGAAGCAAGCTAACCTACCGGTCGGAGCATCTGCCACTTGGTGGTCAGTGCATGTCATAGCGACTGGTTAAGCAGTCAGCATATTACACTTTTATTATATAGGATAGGCCAGTTTTTGAGTTTGTCTGATGCCTGCTACTCCTTCATGATTAAATCCAGGTTACATGCATTTTTGTCAGCAATACCAGTCTTTTACATCTGCTGAAGTTTTGTGTTTTTTTTTAAGACAGGGAGAAAGAGAGAGAAAGAGAAACATCAACTGGTTGCCTCCTATACATGCCCCAACCAGGGATCAAACCCACGACCCCTGCCCTAACCGGTTTTGCTCAGTGGATAGAGCGTCGGCCTGTGGACTGAAGAGTCCCAGGTTCAATTCGTCAAGGGCATGTATCTTGGTTGCGGGCACATCCCCACTAGGGGGTGTGCAGGAGGCAGCTGATCGATGTTTCTCTCTCATCCATGTTTCTAACTCTCTATCCCTCTCCCTTCCTCTGTGTAAAAAATCAATAAAATATATTTAAAAAACAAACAAACCCATGACCCTTTGGTGCAACCAACCGAGCCACACCAGCCAGGACTAAATTTTTTATTTTAAGACTAGAGGCCCGATGCCTGAAACTCATTCATGGGTAGGTTTTCTAGGCCTGGCCGGCGATCAGGGCCGATCTGTGGGGAGACTGGTGAGGCAGTCGGGGGACCCCTGCTGACACCCGCCTTGGCTGGCCTGGCGCAGCGCTCTTGCCAGCCCCTCCTCCCAATTGCCCTGCTGCCGCTGGTTGCCTCCCTTTGCGGGGCAACCGGGGGGCAATTGGGGGAAACCCCCACTGGCACCCATCTTGGCTGGCCTGGGGCCTGTTGGCTGGGGCAACTCATGCTTTGAGCGTCTGCCCTTGCTGGTCACTGCACGTACTAGCGACCGGTCATTTCACCGTTTGGTTGACTTGCATATTAGGCTTTTATTATATAGGATAGTTGTAGATTCAGATGCATTTATAAGAAATGAGACAGATCTCATATACCCTTCACCCATTTTCCTCCAGTGGTAAAATCTTGCATAACTAGTAAATACTCAACCAGAATGTAGACATTGATACAATCCACTGATCTTATTCAGATTTCTCCAGTTTGACTTGTACTTGTGTATGTGTGTCTGTGTGTGTATTTATGTCTCCGCAATATCGGGTGACCACTACCACAGTCAAGGTACAGGAGAGTTTGTCCCAGGACCCCTTGTGCTATTCTTTTATAGCCATAGCCACCTACCGCCCTCTTACCTCCTACCTAATCTCTGACTACCACTAATCTGTCCTACACACTAGTTTTTTCATTTCAAGGATGCTATATAAAGGGAATCACATAATACTTAACCTCTAGAGTTTGGTTTTCTTCACCTAACCTAATTAATTCCCTTGAGATCCTTTCAAGTTGTGTGTATCGAAAATTTATTCCTTTTTACTGCTCAGTGGTGTTCCATGGATTGGATCTACCAAGATTTGGTTAACCAAATTGTTTCCAGTTTGGGGCTATCCTATATAATAAAAGCCCAGCAACCGTTATGGTGTAAAAACCAGAACAACCACCAGCCAGACCACCAGCCAGTAGCTATGACAAGCACTGACCCAGACCTTGCTCTTGGCGCCCTGACAGCCCCAAATTCCATTCACCCAAACCCCTGACCCTGACAGCAGGGAGGCGGGAGCCCCATTCCTCCCAGAATCAGACGTTGGTCAAGTAGCTGTTGGCGCCCTGACAGCTCCAAATCCCATTCACCTGCACTGTTGTCTCTGAGTCTTAATGCAATATCTGTTCCCCAGCCTTTTTCACCATGTGGAAAAGAATAGGATATGTCATTGCATTTAATGTAGGAAACAGGATACTGATTTGTTTCATTTTAGTGGCATTTGGATTATTGGGATCTGGTTTACAATGAATGAGCAAGTCCCTTTCAAAAGGAGGTTCTCCATCTTCGTTTCTGAATATGACAGCAACCTCGGTTACACAGGAAGAATTATATCTACCTGGGTCATTGTTACAATCGTATTTAATCGCCATTGTTACCTCTGTGGGAGCAATACCTTTTGCTGCTGCTTCAGATTGGGCTTCCTTTTCTACCTCATGTAGCATCTTGTGCGATTTTGTTAATTCATTTATTTCACACATGAGGTTGTTGATGTTGATCATGAGTCTTTCTGAGCAGCCCTGGTTTTCTGGCATTGCTGGTCTTTTACTTATAGCTTCGGCTGTATCCAAAAATAAAGAGTTGAGCAAACTTCTGAGAAATACCATCCAAAGGATGTAAAGTTCCAGTATAGTGATAAATTTGTCCGTGTATTCTAAAACAGTATGGCCCATATCCTGATGGTGATGCAATATTTGCACCCATGGAAGCAAAAGCAAAAGAACTATTTATGGAACGAATATTTTCCATGAAATTTTTACTGTCAGAATCTTTGTCATTAATCTTTTTAAATATGCCAGATAATCTGGAAAATGTATATCATTTGGACAGACTTTATCTTTGCTACAACATTGAGTAAATTTCCCATCGGATGGTTTTTCATCAGAGAAATTTAGTGGTAGGCAAAACTCACATCGAACAGTCATTCCACCACAACTGTGTTCGAGAATTGCATCCTCATGTACTCCATTTTCACTGAGGAGGAAGTTACTACCAGAATTGGTAGTACTTGTTGATGACTGTTCCCTAGACATATTCTGTTGTCGCCACCACCTTCTTTCAACTTCAAAGGCACGTTGGTCTTTAGACATAGTCCCACCTCTCTACTGTCACATCTGAGATGCAGGTGAATGAGAGTCCTGGCTGTCAGGTTGCTGAGAGCTGCCTGACTAACGGCTGATTCTGGCTGGTTCTGTGGGGGTAGGACTTCCTCCTCCCTGCTGTCAGTTTCCACAGCTTTGATGAGGAAGCTGGGGTGACAGAGGGAGCCACGCCCTCCAAGCCGCCCTCTTGTTCTGCTCTATGTCCAGTGGCCTCCTGCTCTGCCAAGTCTTCCAAACCTCCTGCTCTCCGCCCACTCTCCTTCTCTGCTCTCCACCTGCAAGGGTCCCGGGAGCCCCTGGCTGCCATTGCCTCCCAGGGTGCTTGACACCTGTGTATGCAAATTAGCCCACCATCTTTGTCAGGTTAATTTGCATGCTCACTCCTGCTTGGTTGGTGGGTGTGGCTTGTGGGCATTGTGGAGGGATGGTCATTTGCATCTTTT